TTTCCCTGGAATTTTATTGACAGCACAGAAATGGTACAGTCTCTTTATCCAGTAATAGTCGAAGCGGTATATTGAGCACCAAGGAAGGCCTTTGTCTTGCCTTCCTCTCATTCATTTAGACGGCTCCTGCAGCTGTGATAAATGTGGACTGGAGCTGCTCTGAAATTCTGGTCCTGGTTCCATTTTTATGACGGCCCTGGCCGTGCAATTTTCTATCTGTCGTATCTCTCTGTTATACTGTCGTAAGCGTCTGTCAGTGGGTGTACCATGTCAATGCAGGAGAGGGGAGTTGTGGCTGTGGGCGTGAGTGGGGGTCTGTTCAGAGGGCAAATAAATAGTTTCATGTGACATAAATGTGCTGAGATGATTCTATTAGCTAAGCAAACACACGATGGCAGGGATCGATGCCTGGGCCCTTATGCACGTAGAACGTAGAATGTAGAATGCACAAGCGGTCTAAAAATATCAATATATTTTTCATTCCCATATCCACGGGCACGAGAGTGGCTCCTTGTGGGTCCTTCCATACATGACAAAATTACAAAAACAAGCTAAACAAGTTGCCAATAATGTGTGTTGTGTGTTGTGTGGGTGTGTGTTGGACAAAGGGTAAAGGGAGGTAAAGGGACATGTCGCTGGCTGACTGACTGGCTGACTGACTGGCTGACTAACTGATGGAGGAACCAGCCCCGACTCGGTCAGCTGTCCGAGCCTTGACGGCCATTTGAGCGATGCGATGTGCTGTCCGATGTGAAGTGGGTCCTCCACAGCTCCACAGCTCCACAGCTCCACTGCCCCACCCTCTTCACGGTTGAGTAGTTCGTTCTACTCGTAATAATGCAAATACACAATAAATAACCAACGTGCACAGTGCATTGACGAGCTCCGAATACTTTGGACAAAGTCCCCCCTGGACTTCACTCAATTTGCACCCAAAGAACCTCGGCCTGTCCCTCTGCGTGCCCGAGCAATGCCAATTATTTTCAGGCTCTTAGTCATAATTCACCAAGTGAACGCCTGCACATGACGACGTGGAGCAGTGGAGGTTGCATTCCGTTTAGCCTTTCATATGGATATACATAGACATTTGTGTGCATGTAAACGAATGCGAGTCGCAACATGTGCTTCTGTTTCCCATATCCTTGAACGGGTAATTTGAGCTCTGAACGAAATTCAATTATTTCTGCCCGGTCCCTTCGTCCGAGCCGAACTCATTCCCGACGAAGGTAGGCAACAGCTCTCTGGGGCAAATTCCTGGCTAGTCTTGGAATTTATATTTACACTAGGACTATATTAAAATTTAACTGAATTGGGTATTACTTTTCCCTCTGGCAGATGTACTTGCTCTCCTTTATTTTTATTGATTTCCATTGGCACAGGTCCTTAATATACGATTGGGCGAAATTAAATTTCCAAAACGAATTTCGAGTATAATCGAGATTGGCTTCTTGGGTGCGCGCCTGCCTTTGTTTGTCCTTGTTCCGGAAACAATATACATTGCCAGCACCACCCCACCACCGCACCACCCCACCACCCACCATCAAAGGATTTAGGGGCTGGCTGCTCCCCAAGAAGGGAACGTGGCAGATACTCGGATTCGAAGGGCCAGCCTTGAGGTGCACGAACGCCCGACCCACCCATCGGCGGGGGGGTGTATGTAAATTTCAGCTTGAGGCCGTGGTGGTTATTGATTTTTCCCCCCCGCTGTTTGTTGCTGCTCTACGAAATTATAATTATTTATAATAAAATCAGCACTAAACGCAAAAGCAGTGGATAACAAATCAAAGTTTTCTCAAGAAAACTCTCTGTAGCTGTAGCTGTGGCTATGGCTGTGGCTGTCGCTGCCTCTTGCCACGTGTCCTGTCCCGTCGATGGTCTGTCGTATGTGTTTTTATTAATTATGTTAAAGCAGACGACACTGCAGACGCTGCCTGCCTGCCTGCCTGCCTGCCTGCCATGGGAGCTCATTAAGGCATCACGAAGGACGAGAGGTTGGGCCATAGGGCGGTCGCCTTTTCAATTTCAATAGCTTCAAGGGAAGCACACTCAGACATTCGGGGGCACAGTGCAATGCAAAGGATTGATATTGTGTACGATTTGGAAATATCTTTCTCTTCTTTCACAGGATTGAAAAGGATAAAAAACGCTTCTCTAAAAAGAAATAACTATGAAATCGAATTACAACGTATACACATATTTTTAACCCTCAAAGAAGGCTCCTATCGCCTGGCAATAAAAAGCCTGGTCATGTACACGACATGTATTTTGTTTCTTCATTCCCTTTTGCACTTTTCTCCTGTCCCGGGTGACTTTTGTCCACTGTGCGCTGTGGGACTTTGGGGGAAGCCAAAAGGAAGATATTTCTCCATGTGGTGGCAGGACGGGATTGGAGTGTGGGAGGAAGGGAGATGGCAGATGGTAGATGGTAGATGGAAGATGGGAGTGTGTGGCATCACAGTTTGCTCCAATTTCAAAGCATTACGCTTATGAGAATTTATGTTATGTGGCGGGACACACATGTGTGTGCGTGTGGCTGTGTTTGCGGACAGGACCTGCTGGCGCCCTGCTGTGCGGACGGTCTGGTGTCCTTTTGGCTGTTTTGGCTCTCTCTCTCTCTCTCTCTCGCTTTCTGTCTCTTAATTCTGATTCCGGTTATGGTTCGAGGTTCAGGTTCAGGTTCTTGCCAGAGAGACCTGCAATTAGTTGGAGCATGATAAAAATGTTGTATGCTGCCAGCAGTGGCGTCGCCGCAGCATCGTTGCCGCTTGTCCTTGCGGGCAGTTTCCTGCCCGTCCTGCCGGTCCTGCCCGTCCTGCCCGTCCTTGTGGCCTGTGTAATATTCATTGCTTGTGCAGTTTTGCCAACTCATTTGGCGCGATTTACCTACACACACGCATTGGGCATGTCTGCCCCTCCCTTCGTATTACCGTAATAGAGCCCATCTATTTGCAGCTTTGACTCTGAACTTTTCCCTGCCACTGCCACTGCCACTGCCACTGCCACTGTGCCCCCTCCTCTGGCCATCCTAATGAAGTTTCCACCAACCCTGCCACGAAACTTTTCGCTCTTCTTTTTTTTTTGTTATTACAACAGAGTGGTTTTGTGGGCGGCCGATGGGGAAAGTAATGTGGGGGAGGGCAGGGAAAGCTACTGAGAAAGTATCATGTTGCAATCAATTAATTATGTCACTTCCCAACAGCAACACACAACACAGTCCCGCCTGCACAGTGGCAGCAGACACTCGCACATTTTGGATGGAAAAGAGGGGCACTTCCGTTCTTTGGTGATAGGTCCTTCCCGTCTCGAGGGCAGTGTCTTCCAGTTTTGACAGTTTTTCCATCTTCACTGCCAACATTTTTGTGCATATGTTTCATGCAACGACTTGGCATTCGTTCAGAAACAATTGGGTTTTTTCTATAACGAAATTTAAGCACGAGACTTTGGTATCGACAGAATGGTATTGCCCCCAATCGAAAGAAGAAATAAAGCGGTAATTCCTTAAGATTGTCGTCTTTCAAAAAAAATTGTGAAATTGTTATCTTGATTCTGGCTATAATAATTATACGATCTGGTTCAGATTCTTCACTCTAGAAGATATAGTCATCTTCTACGATTCTGTAGCAGTGACATATCACTGAAGTCTGGATCCAAAACATCGTTGCTCTAGCTCTTATAGTCTTTGAGCACAGACAGACAGACAGACAGACAGACAGACAGACAGACTTTAAGTCTTATAGCAGAATATTCTAAAAAAAATAGTAATTCCATTATTATTTGTTATTTTTAGTGATTGTATTTTTCGGTCAACAATAGAATATTTTCGTGGAAAATAAATAGTTTTCCTGCACCTTTCATAAGAAAAAAAAGCACCAACAAGTGTCTTATGCCATTAACAAATTTCCCAGAACTTTATTAAGATATTTCCTGCCACAAAAAATTTATTGAAGAAAAAACCACATCGCCATGAAAGCCAAAAAGTACAGGAACTCATACAATACGTGTGCCGTGGCTCGTAATAATCTCCAGCTATTGGGGGCTCTGACTGGGGAAAAGGAGAGCAGCTCGCTTTGAAGCTAGTGATGGGATCCACCCAACTCAGCCCCAAAAATTTATGCAAAACACAAAAGCAAAAGAAAAGGAAAGGGCGATGGAAGGGGGCGAAAAAATTGCTGAAAATCTTGCATAAATTGCGGGACGCACAAAAGTATGCAATAAAAATCACATCAAACATGTGTGTGTGGGTGTGGGTGGGGGTGTGGGTGTGGGTGTCCTTTCCGTCCTAATACCCATATTCTTCTGCCAAGCTGCCCGCCCCCTCGTTTTTTGTCCGTACTTTTTTCGGCAGCGCTTAAACCTTTAATATTATGCAACACTGGCAACCGATTGCTCGTGCCACGCCCCTCCACCCCCCCCTTCAATGGCTGTCTCTCCCAGCCTGCGGGCCATTTGGGCGCCACGCTTCGACGAAGCTGCAAAGCTTTTAATTAAAGCATTTGCATTTTTTATCAGTCGACCAGGAACGCCCACACGCCCACACGCCCTGGAACACCTGTGCGGCTGTTTGGCCACACGCGCGCCGCAAGTTATGCAACACTGGCACGAAAACAAAAAACGAAGTAAAAGCGGAAGGACCTTCCTACAAATTCCACACGAAGAGAGCGGGGGAGCGGGTTTCTGTTTCTGTTCCTTTTGTTTTTGGCGCGCTTTTGTATCTTAATTGATTTCAATGTGTGTGTCTGTGTGTGTGTGTGCTAGTATCTGTGTATAAGTGCGCTAATTTGATGATTTGAATAGTGTCCCACCCTCCGGCCCTGCCCGGCCCCCGGCCCCACCTGCAATTTGTTCCCGTGCGTAATTCCGTGTGCATTTAAATGAAAAGTGCACACACACACGAGCAGCCGGGAAAGTGCAATTGTGTGTGTGTGGTTGACTGTGAAACGTAGAGTCCCTCGTGCAAATAATTAATGAAGCAAGCTCCTAGAAGTTTCGGTCTTTTTATATATTATTTTTTTTTGGTTTTTGGAATGCTCTTGAATTTTGTTAATATGAATTTTGGAGAACTTTTGGAGTCTTAAGTGTTGTGTGTGTCAGTATCGGATGGTTGCTCGTTTTCCTTGGCGATAGCTGAGGCCTTGGCCTTGAACTCCTCGCCAGCTTTTTTGGCTATCTCGGACCAAGGCATGGGATTGTAGTCCAGATGCCCCTGGGTCTGAACACCCACAATACCCGTCTCCAGGAGGAAGGTTTGGCCCTTGCCATCGTCATGAATGCCATAGATACTGCAGAACGGTAAAACATTAGCGAAATGTGGGAATACTTGGATGGAAAACCACCTACATTTCGCCGGACATTTTCACCAACTCCTCCATATCGAACGCGTCGAATTTGTACTTCTCCATCAATGCCAGGGCCTTCTCCTCGCCCACGCCAATGGCGCAGGAGGCATGCGAGACGACCGCGCCGGACGGTTCCACTTTGTAGAGCTGCGGTCCGTGCTGCAGCTCCCATCCGGACAACAGAATGCTCACCGCATAGGGGCGCGCAGCGTTGTGCTGAAAGCACAGCTTGACGATCTTGCTGAGGTGATCGCACAGCTCTTTCATGGTGATGCCCCGCTCGGACGTCCGACGGACGAGGGAGGCCTCGAAGCGGGCGTTCTCGGCCAGGGCGTAGACGTCCCCGCGCAGCCCATGGACAGCCATGCCGAAGTGGCCGTCGATGACGAAGAGGCGCGGATAGGTATCCGGAGAAATGTATCTGTTGCCAGTCAAGTTCTCCACGGCCAGCACCACAGAGCTCTCGCTGCGAATGCCGACGGCTGTGCCACTGTTCTGCAGGCACCTATGGATAGACTTGAGCGAGTACACGCGGCCATCGGTCGGTGCGTACGAGTCCGCATTCAAGCTAAACCGAAATCGCGAGTGCATCTCGCGCTACAAACATCTACTTAGTAAATTGCGACAATTGCTGTTCACCTTTCACCTACCCCTGGGTCTTTGTCTTCGCTCATTGCGCTGCTTTCTGTTCCTGTATTGTCGAACTGTTTCGGGAACTGTTCGACGAACAATAACGACTTGAAGGCGGCAAACTTGGCTTGACAGCTAAGGCGATGTTCATGTTACGGATACATCTGTATATCGGCAACTGTTGGGAGATCAATCGGAAACACCGCGAGGGATACTCCAGCAAATTGCGAGCAGCCAAAGGGCAAACCAATTTCCAAACAGGGCTGTTCAGGGAGTCCAAAGAGTTATGTTTATTGTACATATAGGGATTGTTTAATTATAGTCAATAATCTGTACTTTTGTGCTCATCGGATGGTAGACGGTGGATGGTGCCAGTGTGAATCGGGGTCTCACATCTGTCAATATTTGTACAATTTATAGAAAACAATATTTAGTATTTCGTTAATTTTTGAAGGTGTCCTCGTAATATTCGTAAAATAAATAAAATAAATAGTATAATATAACATTAGATCCCTAACTAAAAAATGCCTAACAAAGTCCTTAAAATATGCAAAATAAATCCTTGGACAATGTAATATTTGTTCACTTTCGAGGCACCTGCTGCGCGACCCCCAGATATTCCTCTCTGGAGACTCTCTCTCTACCGTTGTCTCCCCTTTGTCCCTCTCTGCTCTCCCTAGTTCTCCCGATTGCTGTTTGATTTGTGTTCCTGTTGCTTTCGCTGGAGGGAAATGTCTGACAATTGTCTGCAAATCATTTGTGGCCGAAAGTGGCTTTAAGTGGAGCAGCAAATCCTACAGCAAACTGCCGCAAACAGCGCGAATGCCAGTTGCTGGGGCAGCATTGCTGCTGCAACATATGCAGGACATGTTAGGCATATTGTTGACACAAATGCCAGTTTCTAGGCGGCAAGCAGCGACGAGCCCGACCCCGACCCCGACCCCACACACCGCCCCGGGGTGACTGATTGACTCAGGTTCAGGTGCAGGGGCATTGACGCTAACTAAACATGTTGTTGCAACTTGTGGCACCCAGATAGATGTAGACTGTCTCTCTGGCTGTCTGCTGTGTCTGTTTCAACTTAATTGCAATTGTCCGGGTCCTGGCAGCCTTGGGTTTTAGGGTTTCGTTGCGCCAGTGTTTATGCATATGATATGCAAATATTGTGGTATCACTGTGCAACACACACACAGATGTAGATGCAGACAGGCAGACACACACACACGCACACACTTAAAGACAGAGAGAGGGAGATCTGGGGGGAATTGCCTTGCATCTGTTTGTTCTTTTACTTGTAGCTCGTAATTTTTGCTGCCACTTTTGCAGCAGGCTCAGGCTCTGGGCAGTGATGCCAAAAATTTCTGAATCTAAAAAAAAACTGCCAAAAAATAGCCAAAGCCCTAAAGGAATTTTCTAAAAGTACTACAAAAATAATTCATAATTAAACTAAATTAACATCGTCATTTAAAAATTAAATAAAAAAAATTATCTTAACAAAAACTGCAAAAAAATAGCCAAAGCCCAAAAGGGAATTTTCTAAAAATGCTAGAAAAATAATTCACAATTAAACTAAATTAACATCGTCTTTAAATATTAAATTAAAACCAAAAAAAATCTTAACAAAAACTGCAAAAAAATAGCCAAAGCCCAAAAGGGAATTTTCTAAAAATGCTAGAAAAATAATTCACAATTAAACTAAATTAACATTGCCTTTAAATATTAAATTTAAAAAAAAAATCAATTAAAAGTGAATAATTCGATGGCAAATCTATAAAATATCTATAAAAGGTAAAGAAAGTCTCTAATCTGTGGCGCAGTTCTTGGGTTTTCTTCTAATTCTTTTCTAGTTTATTTTGCGTGTCTGTTCATTCTCTTGTCGATTGCACAATGAATCGTTATCGCACTGGAGTATCGCATAATACTTATCGCAGTAGAGTATCGCATAAGACCTATTGGTTGAGGTCTAATATCGGGGTACCGGTAGGGGTGTTGTGGGATGGGTTAGGGTAGGCTCGGGATGTTGCCTTACAAATCAAATGTATTTAAAAAATATTTTATTTAATTTATAAAACATATATTCTTTCTTGAGAATGCATTTAAATTTTTAGTGTTCCTTAAAGAAGAAAAAGAATAACTTTTGATTATTTAATACTTGAAATGTTTTTATATATTCAGATATATTTTTTACAGGGTCTAGTAGCCAGAAAATTAATAAATATTAATTAATAAAAAATATAAAAAAAAAAAAACACACATAAATAATACAAATTATTTCTTTATCTTTAAGAGTGTATGTTCCCAATTTGATAAATAAATTGTATGGAATGCTTTCAATGTCCTTGCTCTTGGAAGTATTCCAAAATACTCAACAATATCATGGGTTCTTGTGGGATGCTAAATAAATTCTAGATCAAATAAATGCTATATTTTGCCTTTGAAAAAAAAGAAGCCAAAATGGCAGCACTGCTGCAGTGAGTGCTAGAGGGGTGCAGCAGAGAGAGAGTGCGAGCGAGAGAACAACAGCAATTTACACAACACATTTGCTTAATTTATATTTATAACTTTAACACAGAGCAAACGAGAGACAGACAAAGGGGAAGGGAGAGAAGGAGGGAGAGAGAGATAAGAAGGAGAAGGACAGGAAGAAGGAGAGACTTTTGTTAGTTTTGTTTTTTTGTATTTGCATAATCGCGCACTTACCCACACAGAGCGGGATAGAGCGAGGGAGAGAGGGAGAGAGAGTAAGAGAGATTGATAGAGCAAGGAGCAAAGGAGATGGAGATGGAGATGGAGAGACGAAGCTGCCTTTTGTTTGACTTTAACTTTGACATTTACTTTAACATTAACTTGAAAGATGAACCTCAAGGGTGAGCAAGGGAGAGAGGGAGAGGGCACCAGCCTTTGCCTCAAGAGGGGGAACCTCCGAAAGCGATGGGGGAGAAAGTGCTAAGGCGGCCCAGAGATAGAGCGATATCCCTTTAAAATACACTTGAATATTCCCTTTAATGTTAGCTTTAAAGCTGACTAGACGCCGAACCTCAAGAGCACAGCATTCCGTCACCCCATAAGCCCCAAGGCCCAGGACCAGGCCCAGGCCCCAGCCACAGACCCAGCCACAGACCCAGCCCCTGCCCCTGCCTCATGGCTTCCATTCTATCCATTAGTCATTCAGTTGGTGGCTGGCCCAAAAGGAGTGTGGCGAGCAGGCAGCAGCTGGGAAGCAGACCCAAAGGGTTGCCTCGTCTGCCACTTGAGACGCGCTCAGAGCGGCAGTGGGGGCAGCGGCGGCGAATTGCAATTGGTGGCAGGGTCGGCCTGCATTGTTTACGTACCTTTTGCCACCAAACAACAGGGTAGCAGTGGGTTACGATGTGGCAGGGATAAAGAATTGAACCGTGGGTTGAACGCGAGCTACAACAGATCTGGAAATGAGAAGAAGGCCACAGCAAAGAAGGGAACATTTGCTGGGAATCGTACTCGTACACCCTTTCTCCAGGTAGAGGGTACTCTCTGGGGCGACTACTCTGCCGGCAGTGGCCGCCATTTTGTGCAATTTTATTGCAAACTTTTTCCCACTTCTCTCCCTCTCTCTCGCACTCTGGCTCTCTCTCTCTTTGTATTTATTCCACTCCACTCTCCTCCTTCCACTCCATTTTTTCCATTAGAGTGCAAAAATATTGCCTACTTTTTGGGGCCATCTCCCATCTAATGATCCCGAAAAGGGGGAGGGGGGGGGGGTAGGGTAACGAGGGCCGAAGACGGACAAGGACGATGATGAAAGAGAAATTTTCCAGCCATACAAAATGTAATTACAGCTGGAAAATGCAATACAACAAAAGGCTCCCCGCGCCCCCCCCCCCCCCCCCCCCCCCATGGCCCCTCCAGGAGCAGGAGTTGCCGCAACTTTTCACAATTTTAACTTCAGTTGCAGCCGCCGCAAAAGGCAAAAGCAACAACAAAAAAAGCAAATAAAATGGGGGAGAAAATCAAATTTATTTTTTTTATTTTTTATTTATACATTTTTTTGCGCGTTTTCTGTTTGCAGTTTTTTCATATTTTTTTTTTTTTGCTTTTTTGAAGCTGCCATTGTTGCTGCCGGTCGGAAATAAACCACAAAGCGCAGTCATTGCCTGCATCATCCTCAATCGTTGTGGGCCCCCGTGACCGCCCCGTGACCCCCCGTGACCGCACACACCCCTCGTGTGTGCACCTTTAGTTTATCGTTTTTCATTTTTGTAGTGGACTTTTGGATTTATGCGCACACTTGAATCTGCATTTGGCCGCAGACCGAAAAGCCAGAGTGGAGGGTCCTGTCCTGCACTGTCCTGGACCAACACACACACACACACACACACACACACACACACACACACACACACACACACACACACACACAATGGCAGCCGCAACAAAGCGAAGGCTCCAGGAGATGCAGCAAGGGGGCGGCGCTCCTTGCCCAACTGTTGGACAACAGTTGAGTGGATATACCCCTTCACGGGGGAGCGGGGGTCGGAGACCTCAAAAACATTTACGGTCATTTATTGAAACACACAACTTCCTGCCTGCATGGTGCATGGTGCACTGTCAGATCCTGCCACATGCGCGGCTGGGTGGCGGTGCCATAATTGAATTCTCCAGCACATCCCGACACTAAACACATGAGAAAACAGCAGCAATAAAATTATTGCAAACAGAGACAAAATAATGGTGAAAAATATGCGAAAATTAGGAAGCCAAATCCTGCGGGAGCATTTAATCACATTTCATTAATGAATGACAGCCGATGGACCACCCCTTGGTCGTCTTTGCCCCTGTCTTTGACACAGAGTAGCTTAGCAGTTAAGGGTGAGTTTTCGTGTCTGCTCCTCTCTCGCTCTGCCTCTGCCAGCTCTATTCCAGAGAGACTCGGTCCATTTCAAAGGAGAATATTGAGCTCTATTATATTTTTAAAATATTTACAGCTTACATTTTCAAGCTGTTTCCTCGACTCCTTTTCCGTGTTTGCTTCCCCCCCGAGGCTCCTCCTAATTTGTGTGCGCTTTCTGTCAATAATTGGCCGGCACTTATCGGCCACAAGGCAAAACCCAAATT